GTCACGCGACCGTGGTGCGCCGGCTACGGACCTGCCCCGAGCCGACGCCCTCGCTTCGGCAATCGTTTTTTTTGTTGCCAGAGAAGCGGTGTATTTGCGTAGTGTATTTGCGCAGTGTATTTGCGAAGTGTATTTGCGTAGTGTTTATTATTTCACCTTTGAAACTTCTCTATCTCACCATTAAAAGTTTCATTTCACCATTAGCCACAGCCGTCCGGTGTGTCGATCTGAATCGTGTCTCACTCAAGCAATCCTCGCGGCCATGCCTGGTCAATGCATCCTCTGGTGCGGTGTTGTGGTCAGGTCATAGCGGCGCCCACCGGGCAAGTTAACAAATCCTCTGGTCCGAAGTCAGACGGAACATTGTATGTCTGAAGATGGTGGCGATCAGGAGAGAAACGCGGACCACCGCCACCGAGATCCTATCGGTGGGACGGGGCCGGTCCCTGGGCGACAGCACGCCAGAGCGTCACACGGTGCAGGACGACGCTCAGGCGTGCAACCGCCCAGGGATGGGTCCGCCCCCGGATAGGTTCTCGGTGGCAGTGATCTCTGTTCCTCCTCTGAACTAGATTCGGCTTTTCCCTGGAGGAGAAGAACCGGCATAAACATCGACTGTTGGGGCTCCGCGCGGATTTCCTGGATCAGCGCTGGACCCTCCCCCCTGGCGCGCGGAGTGCGCCAGGGGCGGCGCCGGAGGCGCCTCAAAGGCCTAGGGGGTTCCAGCGCAGATCTCCAGAAGTTTTTGTTTATGCGACTTGTTCTTTCTCGACTTTCCCGAATCAGCGTCCGAGCTTCTGCAATCGACGGTGGCGATTGTTGGCAGACTGCAGCTGGTGACATTCCTCATCCCTGCCGAGTACGGCACCGACCTGGCTGGCCGCAGCATGCCACTCGCAACGCCGTCGCGCCACTCTCGCTGCACGCATCAAAGCCCACGCGAGGACACGGCCCCGAGTCTAGGAAGAGGAGGGGAGGGAAGGCCGCGAGACTCGCGCCGCGACGCCGCGCCGCCGCCGCCGCTTCAGACGACGACGACGACAACGACCACGAGACCACGACGACGACGACGACGACGACGACCACGAATTCCACGACGACGATAACGACGACGACAACGACCACCACCAGGACGACGACGACGACGAAGACGACGACGACGACGACGAGTTCGCAGGCCCCAGACATCTCGATCTCGACCCCTCTCCTCCTTGGGGCAGCGTTGTGTCCCGGATCAGCGTCCGGCGGTTCTGCAGAAGGAGCCCCATGCCTGGCCTCCGCAAGCGCCGCGGAAGAGCGCCAAAGAGAGCCCGCCCCAAGCCCCGGAGGCACACCGACGCAGGCCGTGGTGGCTCTCCCCCATATGCTCTTCAGCAGCGCAACGAAACCCAAGGCCCAAATCCCAAGCGTCTTTCGGCTACACGCAAGAGTGACCCTGGGTAAGAGTGACCCTTTGCTGCGCGGCTTTTGGGGGGGGGGGCGCGGGGAGACCAAACCTGGGCGCGCAAGCCGCTGCTGCCGCTTCGTTCTCAGCCATCTGAGGGCCCATCTGAGCCCGCACCAAATGTCACTCCGGCGAGAGGTCACTCTTACGTCTAGTCGAGTCTTGGTGAATACTAGCAGGCCCAGCCGGCCAGTTGAACAGACCAAACGAACACGAGCGCCACGCGCGGACAGCAGCTGCAAGAGCAGGGAGAGGGAACGGGCGGCAAGGAGGACAGATGAGGAGCCGATAGCAGCACGGAGAGGGGAAGGAACGCGAGCGAGAGAGGAGGCAGCAGGGCAGGACGGACCCTGACATCCTGCGGTTTTGTTTTTTTGCTAGACGGCGGTTCTTCCATTGCTTTTTCAAGACGATTGAAAAACAAGACATATGCGATGTCTTGTGTTTGGGTTTCTAGGCGCGCAGGCCGTGGTCTCCATCGGTGGAGACCTGGGCAAGCAGCGCGCAGCAGCCGTGGGGGCGGCAGGCAAAGGAACTGCAAGCCAAATAAAAAACACTAAACCATGAGGCTCGAGTTCGGGGGGCTCGAGCTGGCCCGAGGGGCCTTCGGACCAACGGCGGGACCTCGTCGGAAATTCGATGTGAACTCCCGCTGCAAACGTCTCGTGCAGACTGACCCATCAGAATGTGAGCCTTCAGGCCTCCAAACGAGGTCCGAGGAGATGGGATCGGAAGATCGCGCCGCATCGCCGATGCATCGGCAACGTCGGCGACGCAGCGGCATCGCGACGATAGGGCCCCACATCGAGCCGCACCGCCGATGCACTGGCGATGCGGCGAGATCCCGCGACCCCATCTGCACGGACCCCTCCTGGGAGAGGCCTGGAAAGCCCGGACCGTCAGAAGACGACACGCTGAGCGACACCAGCGGCGCGACAGGCCGAGCATCCGCCCCCGACCGCACCCCCTGGCATCCGACGACGTGACCGTGCCAACCCGCGGCCCCAGAGGTCCCGACCGCGTCCTCGCCGGGGGCCGGCTTCTCGCCCCCGATCCACTTCTGTCGGCTACACGCAAGAGTGACCCTGGGTAAGAGTGACCTCTGGTGCGCGGCGTTGGGGAGCCGCGGGGGAGCCAAGCCCAAGCGCGCAGGCCGCTGACATCGCAGCGCGTTCGGCGATGGGGGGACCCCTCTGGGCCCCGCACCAGGGGTCACTCCTGCGAAGGGTCACTCTTAGGCCTATGGCCGAACTTCTGCTGGCCCGCGGGCGCGCCAACGGCGCCCTGGGGGCCGCCGCCTGCGAGACGCGCCCGCGGCGAGCCGAAAAGCGCGTCGCCGAGGTCTGATGCCTCGCTGCCCCCTCGGCCGGCGGCCCGGGCAGAGCTCGGAGCAGGGCGGGGCGGAGACGGCGGCACCTCGCAGGCGGTCCCCGGACCCCCTCCCGGGGCCCCGGCGCAGGAGCCTCCCGAGCGGCGTCGAGCCGTGGCGACGCCGGGGCTCCCAGGCCAGCAGCTGCCGTCGTCTCAGACCCCCCCTCCGTCGATGACCGGCACCATCGGCGCGGCAGGCTGCGGTGAAGGCACTGGGCCAGGCACCACTGTAACCGTTGGATTCAAAAATTCAGGGACCGAAAGCCGGCAGACCGCCAATGGAGGCTTGGCCATGGCTATCACGGCGCTCCTCATGAGGACGCCTCCGGGGTCTGAGGCCTCCCGGGTCCATTCCTGAGCGAACGCCCCTGCACCGCACCGTGGCCCCAACCCGCCCTCCGCTGACAATCGACCGCGTCGCCGCCCCCGCCAAGCGGCCGAGCCGCCCGCGCGAAGCCGAAGGCGAACACCGGCGCGGCCACGCCGCGCTGCCAGCCGGCGGAGCCCACCCGCGGCTCCCCCGCGGTGCCCGTGGCGGCCTCGGGCAGCAGCGCTGCTGGGCGAACGCCGCCGCGGCCGCCACCGCCGCCGCCACCGCCACCGCCGCCGCCACCGCCACCGCCGCCACCGCCGCCACCGCCGCCACCGCCACCGCCGCCGCCGCCGCCGCCACCGTCGCCGCCGCCGGCGCTGGCGCCGACGACGACGACGTCTCCGTCGTCGTCGTGGAGGCCGTCGCGCAGGCCTTTACGCAGGCCTTCGCCCTCGCCGCCGATGTCAACCGTCGTCGCCGGCTTCCTGCCTCGTCGCCGAGGCTGTCACCGACGGCTCGTACGATCGCCCGCTCAGCTTGGGACAACGGATCTAGGGAAAACCAAGAAGTGCCGATATCGCTAATCCATGGATCTCTCCCAGAATGCGTCCGGACCAGAATTTCGAGGCGATTCCAGCGGTGGCGACGAGGGCCTCCTACGAGGCCCAAGAGGGGGGGAACGGGGGAAAGGTATCTAGGCCTTCTAGATGGGGTCCGAGCAGATGGGGTCGGAGGATCGCGCCGTATCGCCGATGCATCAGCGATGCGGCTCGATGTGGAGCCCGATTCGCTTCACGTCGATGCCGCCGATGCATCGCAGACGTCGCCAGAGTAACGCCGATGCGTTAGCGATGCGTCAGTGGTGTATCGCCGCTGTATCGCTGCAGCGGGCTCCTCCGACCCCACCTACCCCGACACCATCTAGAGGGCCTCAGAGGCCTCAGAGCAGCAGTCGGGAAGGTATGGCTCCTCCTCAGATATCCTCCTCCTCCTCCTCCACCTCCTCCTAGCCTCCCTCCCACCTACCCTCCTCCCCTCCTCCTCCTCCTCCTCCTCCTCCTCAACCTCCTCCTCCTGCTTCACCTCCTCTCACCTCCCTCCTCCTCCTCCATCCTCCTCCTCCCCTCCTCCTCCCTCCTCCTCACCTCCTCCTCCAACTTCCTCCTCCTCCTCTCCTCCTCCTCCTCCACCAACCTCCTCCTCCTCCTCCTCCTCCTCCTCCTTCCTTCCTGGCCTCCTCCCTCCTCCCCGCCTCCTCCTCCTCACTCCTCCTCCTACTCCTCCTCCTCCTCCTCCTCCTCCTCCTCCTCCTCCTCCTTCCTCCTCCTCCTCCCCTCCTCATCCCCGTCCTCCTCCTCCTCCTCCTCCTCCTCCTCCTGCCTCCTCCATCCCACTCCTCCCTCCTCCTCCTCTCTCCTCCTCCCCTACCTCCCTCCCCCTCCTCCTCCTCCCTCCTCCTCCTCCTCCCTCCCCCTCCTCCTCCCGCCCCCTCCTCCTCCCTCTCCCTCCCCCTCGGGGCGTCTCCGGCGCGCTCTCGGAAGCCCGCGCGGCCTCGGGCCTCTCTCGCAGGACGCGCGGCGGGGGCCTCCGGAGGCCTCCAGAGGTGGCCGCGCGTCGAGGCGCGCTCGAGCTCCGGGATCGAGGATCGAAGTCAAGGGGCCCCAGGACACACAAATAAATACACACAAGTAAAAATATTCCATATATTTTCTCATATTTTCTGGATTTTTGTCATCCCCCCCACTTCCCATATTTTCCCATATTTTCTGGGAATCGAGGATGAATTGTGTCTGTGTGTTTCTTTTCCTCCTGACGAAGTTCCAGCATCGGTGCTGGACCTCAAACGGTGTCTTTCGTTTTCGTTTTGTTTTCGTTGTCTCTCGCTTCTGCTTCGAATCCGCCTCTGCCGCAAAGCGCAACCGAAACGAAGACGGCCCACGAAAGCACCAAAAACACCGTTCAGGTCCATGCCCTGTCCAGCATCGGGGGTCGGAGGTCGAGAATCGAGGGTCGGGGATGGAGGACCGCACGGCCTCACAGTCGCCGCCACCGGCGACGATGTCGACGCCCACGTCGAAGTCGACGATGTCGTCGTCGTCGTCGTCGTCGTCGTCGTCGTCGTCGTCGTCGTCGTCGTCGTCGTCGTCGTCGTCGTGGTCGTCGTCGTCGTCGTCTGCGGCGGCGTCCTCGCCATCGAGATCGTCCAGATGTGCGTGGAGGTCGTCGTTCTCGTTCCCGAGGTCTTTGTCGAGGTCGTTGTCGAGGTCGCAGCGGCCAGGATGAACATCGATCGGTCGATCAACCGAAACTGAAGATCGGGGGCGTCAAAGCGGGGGAAGTCCAAGAGGGGGTCGCAAGTCATGGCCCGAGGCATGTGCGCGGACGAGGGGGGGTGGACAAGGGGACGCATTGAAAAGAGAGCGGGCCATGATATCTGGAGGGATACAATGGCCCCGGCCATGAGACCCACCCCCGCCTGCTCAACCCCTTCTTGGCCGCCCCTGACAAGAGAATGGAACTTGATTGGCGTTTCGTGCCCTCTTTGGACCTCTGGGGGCATCTGAAAGCCTCCAATACAGGGACCTCTGTAGCCGTCTAGGGTCTGGGACCCCTGAAAACTTCCAGACGACGTGCATTGCCGTTATCGTCGATGTTCTTGTTGGCGCTCCAGGCTACCCGAGTGGCCACGGCTTGACGTAACTCGAAGACTGGACTGGATGGACTCCAGGAGGGGTCCAAGGGACCGATCTGGAGCGATGTGGGTCAGAAGGAGACTGCGTCGTCGTCGTCGTCGCCGTCGTCACCGTCGTAGTCGAGGTTGTCGATCGTCCGATCGAGGTACGAGGGTTTCCCGACACTTTCTGTCATCCTCGGACCTCGTGGGGCTCTGGGGGACTCGGGGCCCTGGCGGGATGCCGACAAAGCACAAAATCAGGACCCCCCCAGGACATCCTCTTCGAGGCAGCAGATGGTTTCCCGCGACTTCGACGCGTAGGGCTGGCCTGGTGCGATCAGGACGACGTGTCGGATTTAACACGCTGTCCTCTTCGTCCTGCTCCTCCGTCCTCCTCCTCCTTCGGGTGCGCCGAAGAGGGGGATCAGCGCATCAAGGCCCGAAACACGCGCGCCGACGAGGGGGTGACCAGGGAACGCATTGGAAGAAGAGAAGGGGCCATGCAATCCGCCCCTTGGTTTGTCAAATCCGTCTTGGACGCACCCGCCCCACCCTTTTCTGCACGCCAGGGGGCGCTGCCGTCTGGCCCCCGTGCTGGGCGTGAGAACTCCCCTGCGCATCCGACGATGAGAGGTCCTGGACATCTTCCCTGGGGGGCAACTCAGGGCCCGATGATCTAGGTCACCAACTGTGCACCTCGCACCCCGCGACGCACGATGCGCGAAAGCGCAAGTCTCTTGGCGCCCTCACACCGTCGCGCCGCCCTGGGGAAAAGGCAGCCGCCCCGGCCCAGACCGCGACGCGGCGATGACCTGGATGATGGGCCCCACGAGAGGCGGTACCCTGGGAGGACAATACAGTCGGGGCGTTGACCTAAGGAACCCTAAAGAAGGAACGGGGCCCCATTCGTCCATAAAATAAACTTTGATTTCCATCGAAAACCTAAGGACAACCTCCGGCAAGCTGTAAAACAATGAAGGAACACGGAACCCCTCCCCAACGATAATGGTTCCTTCTCCAGCGCCCCGACTGTAGAGCATGGATGAAACAAAATTGAACCAGCGAAAAAACCCAAGCAGCGGATGGCTTGACATAGGATCGACTAAGAGATCGATGAGGAGATCGACCGGGAACCCTGAAACCAACCGAAATCGGCCAGGAACCACTGACCAAAAACCCGGGAACCCAGAACCGGGAACCCACCCGGCCACTAACATCGGCGGGAAACTTTCGCCGAATCTGTCAATTTGCGCTATGACCCTTTCAGTGCAAACACTGATTGAGGAATCATGTACTCGGAAGTCTGGTTCTCGAGGGGTCCCTCGCTTCTGTGGCAACGCATGAGAGCCTCCCGTGTCATGTCGCTGGATCTTGCGAGCCGACGCTACTTGACGCGAGTCGGAATCAAATCGGACATTCCTCATCGGCTAGCGCGCGCAGGCTAGTGCATGCTAAAAGCGAAGCCACGAAGGCGTACGAAACCCCCATCACTTGCGACCGAACCTCGCCGCACCTGGCGCTTGGCGGAGCTTGAAGCTGAGGGCGCGGCGGTGAGCGCGGCCAGGGAGGCTGGCAGAGCGGCTGGAAGCAGCTCCCACCCCACGCGAGACCCCGCGCTCGCCCCCAGGAACGGGGGAGTGGAGGAAAAGGGAAAGGAGGAATTCACAGCCTGGGGGGACGACCGACGACGGCGGGACGACGAGTCATCCCTGCAAAGCGGCAGCGGTGGCGGTCGGGGTTCGCCTGCGCAGCTGGATGAGACGTGCTCGGGTGAGTCTCACAGCGGCCCCTTTCCCGAAGAGCTGAAATTCGCGGCCACCACTTCGCAGTCATGGTAACACGCGCAGGGAAAACAAAAAAAAAAAAAAAAAAACGATCTACAATGCAACAAAACTTGAACGGAGAGGAGGAGAGAGAGAGAGAAAGAGAGAGAGGAGGAGACGTCACAACGAGACGAGCCAGACGAAGCCGCAGAAGTCGGCTTGTTCTAAACCGCTGTGGCTGGGATAATGGGAAAGGGTGGGCCCCGCTCGAACAGGAACCGAGATTTCAAAAATCGGATGCCTGCGGCGGCCCCCGTCGTGGCGAAAGCCAATTAGCACCTCCGAAGCACGCGACCCCAAACGAGGGCCAACGCACACGACGCGGGAGACAACCCCGCGACCCGCCGCCCTCCCCCACCCCCTCGTGGCCAGAACCCCTGCGCTGTGAAGCAACTGTGGGGATGCCTGGTGCTCTCACATGATATCGCTCTCGCTGGTACATGTGCTGCAATCCCTCCTCTCGATACGAGGCTCGCGAATTTCTCGGACGTCTGCCACGCCACGTGGCGTTGACTGCCGATGAGATCTCCCTCCCTCTGCAACGGGCCCCTGGGCGCACCCCCGCGCGCGCCCCCCCCCCCCCCGCCCACCCACCACCGCCACCACCCACCCACTCCGATGTCGGTCTTGCGGCGCAACCACTTCTGGGCCTGCATGCCCATGGTGGTACTCTCGTCGATGCAGTCGGCCACCAGGCACTTCTGGCCGCCCTCACCCTTCTTCAGCCGCTTGAGGCAAAGGCGCTTGACGGCCATCCCGGACACCGCGAATACGGTCTTGCAGACCGCGTTGTTCCCGCACTCCTAGGCGTCGTGGCGCGGCGTGTTCTCCTGCCCCCACATGCCCCCCCGACCCCTCCGCGCGCCGCCTCGTCGCCAATCGAGGCGCCGCCGCGCGGAACGCCTGGGGGCGCGGATGGCCTCGAGCGCGATGAGAGACGCCCCCGCCCCCCGCCCCGCGCTCAGCCGAGCCCGTGCGTCTGCGTCGCACTTCTCGATCGCGCTAATTATCGCGGCCGGCAGCCCCGCTGCTGCCGACGTCTCGACCGAGTTGTAGACTGCCAGCGCGGTCCGCCGCGGCCCTCGAGCTGGCGAGGAGGAGGCGGCCAATGCAGAACGCGAAATCGTCTCCGTCGCATGCCTTCTTGGCGGCCGTCTCTCCCGCTTGCCTCCTGCAGCTGCCCCCCTAACAGCCCGCGCCCGCGGTCGCTGCCCCTCGCCTCGCCCCTTGTCTCGGAGGGTGACGCCGGGGTGGCGTCGCCGGCTCGGGCGCGGGCGCGGGGGGCCGCGGGCGCGGGGTCTGCCGCCCGAGCTCTCGCGCGGCGAGGTCGAAGAGATCGACGTCAACGAAGGCATGAACGCGCCGGCGACGCGGGGGGAGATACTCACGCGGATAATGCAGCGGGGCCTCACGCCGCGCAGCCTCCCCGATGGGCGGGGCTGAGCAGGCGGCGAGCAGCCGTTGCCGTCGTCGAGGGACCTTGCCGACAGAACGCATGCGTGCGTTGCGCGGCGCCAGCGCTGCTGGCTGGTTTCCTACATGACGATGCGCACGCGTGCGCCGAGCGACTATTGGGCATGAATCAAATGAATTACCGACTGTGTTTACGATCGCGCATCTGCAGCCCCCCCCCCCCGCCCGCGCGCCCATCCCGCCCCCCGCCCGCGCCCCGGGGCTCCGCGCGGATGGCGGGGGGGGGGGGGGGGGGGGGGGGGGCGGGATGCGAACCCGGCGTTCTGGCGCCCTGAGCTTTGGGGCCCGACGAGACAAACGCGCGGGCGGCCCCCCGAGTCACCCGATATCTTGAATTCCGACGGGGCCTCAGCCGCGGAATGGCGTTCTTGCTTGTCCGCCGCGCCCGCTAGATCCCCCGCCGATTGCTTCGGCCACGGGGGGGGGGGGGCGACGCAGCGGGGGCCGCCCCCTGCAGCCGCGACGCGGCGACCCCGTTTCGAACTGCGCCCCCCGAGCATCGGGCGCAGGGGCCGGGCGCGGCATGCTGGGCAGGCCGCCCGAGATTGCCATTGTTGCGGCCTGCGCGTCGCGAGATCGATCTCGCCGCGCGCAGATCTCCAACGCTTCAGAACTCGAGCGCGGCTGATGAGTGGCGCGCGCCGCCACTCTTCTCGCGCCGCGTCGCGCATGGCTCTGCGAAGTAGAGAGGCCCGCCGCCCGTCGAACCGCCCGTAGACGCTCGCGCTCAATTTGGTGACTGGCCCCGGCCCGATGGTCAATGCGTCGCGGACCTGCCCCTGCAGAAATGCGGGCCGCCACTTTTGCGACCGCGCCGATGAGCGCGCGCCAGCAAGTCTGGACGCCCAGCGCCTCGCGAAACCAAGCGCCGCCCCAGGTGCCGAACGCATTACGATATTGCCCTCCGTCACCCCCCGTCCGCTCGCATAGATTTTGTCGCGCAAACTAACCCTGCCGCGCGAATCGGGAATTCGCATGTCCTGCGTACTTGCAGTCTGCCCATGTGCGATCAGAAATAAAACTTCATCTGGTAAGCCAGAATGTCGTAGATTATCTAGAACATCTCGTGAGCAAGCGCCCCTGCCAGCCCTGGCCACTGTCTCTGATCTACAACATCTGCGCTGTTTGCCAAGCTTAGATCCGCAGCACGCCCAGGCCACGCGGTTGCCAGATCGCGTAAAGCATCATCCACGCGCCGGAGCTTGATCTCAAAACTGGCCAAAAGAAAGTACCGATGGGGGGGGGGGGGGGGGCGCACTGCGAATAGGTCGCCCGTTGATCATATGCCCCGTCGGCGCGCGAAGAGAGAGCACCCACCTGCGTGTCCAATTCGACTGCGGCCCGGCGGCGTCGCTGTCCGCGTGGAACTGGATCCTGATCCGCGGTCGCTTAGCGCGAGCGAGCGCGCTGCCAGCATCTTTGGATGCGCTGCAACTTGTCACCCCAAGCCTTCGCGCCCGCCACCGCGCCAGCAAAATCACGGATGCTGCGATCTCTCGCCCCCGATGTTTCGCGAAGTAGCAGCTCAGTACGGCGGGCGCAACCTTCGACCTGTCAGAGATGACAGCCGCCCCTGCTAGTAAAAATGCACGCGCCGCCCTGGCCATCTTAGGGCCCGCTTCCAATTTTTGTTTCGGAATATGAGCACCCCTCGCGGCATGGCAATAAAGCAGAATAAACCCATGCTGATGTTTGTGCCAAACCACGCGGCAATGGGAACCATAATCTCTGCGGCGATGCGCGTTTTGCAGCCGCCCCCCACAACCTCTGTAAAGAAGCCGGCAGTGAAGCCGCGCGCACCGGTGCCAAACCTCAAGTAGGGCAGAACTGACCGAAACTGATGCTCTCCTCGGGGCCCTCCTGACGCATGATCGACTCGCCCCGATGTCCTCTTAACTGCCTCCTGCATCTCCCCTGAAACAACAGATCCGCAATGATATCCAGCGTCGCCCTCTCGCGCTGCGCAAAACGTTCTAAGTCGTCTCGGCCATCGCCATGCCTTCCGCAGGCCTATTTCTGGACCAGACAACCAATCTTCCTTGCGGGGTGGCGCGCAGCGAACACGTCTGCCGTCTCGTCGCGTTGGACCGTGCCGTTTGCGGGCGCCGCGCCGAGCAAGTCGCGCCTCCCCTGCCGAGCGCCCCCTGCGCCGCAAGTCGAGAGTCCCCGTCGCCAGTTGTCGTCGGAGCCGTCGGGTAGCATGACAGCGTTCCAAATGCAGCTGGTGGGTGGCCACTCAACTCTCGATCAATCGCCTCGCCTCAATTTGCGAAGCCTGCAATCGAAGTCTCTGTGCAAGTAGCTCGAGACGCCGCCGACCAGCGTCTCAAATACTTGGTCTAGGGAGGCGCGATCTCGATGCCATGCTATGCCAAGTGTAGTCCGCCCGTTCGTTCTTTCACTTTGTGTAAAAACTGCTATCTTCACTGGCCCCCACCAAAGTGCCACCCACCATCAACAGATCTACGTTGCAAGACTGTGCTGGTCTCATATTATTCGCCTGGCCCACGGGCTTCCCGTAATTCATCACACGCACCGGCGGAACAGGACCACGCGGAAAAACTACTTGCATCGCCTGCAACTTAGCTCCCAGTCGACGGTGCGCACGACATGCAATAATTTGCTCATGCGTACCTTGTGGTCTAAACACATGAACAATTCATTAATCCCCCGCCGTGCAAAAAAAAACTGCATTACAACTGCAGGTGTGAACGTGGTCGCCACCGTCACCCCGTGCGACCCCATCAGTGTCCTTATCCGGCGACCCGCCCCATTCACGAACTGCTCACAGCTGGGGATCTCAAAAACCGATGGATCGACTGATGGCCGCACCCCCTCCGTACGAAAATTCCCCATGCCATCATTGAGGTATGGGAAGATGGTGTGCGTACAACGCGCGGGCAACACAAACAGAACAGGCATGCATGCCACGAGCATGGATATTGAGCGGCAGTTCCCAGCCTGAGCAGCACATGGTCGAGGGCACGGGGGAAGTACCACACGGTGCCGACCATGTCCACTGTCCCTCGCTTTACCCTTGCAGCAGAATCCCTCCCCCTTGCTTCAGCTGGTGCCTCCCACGCCCCCACGGTCGTACGATGCGTCGATGTTGAACCTGAAGGCCGAAGGCGACAAGGCATCCACACCCGTGGACATCGAGCGGCGGCGGGAGGAAAGGGGAAGCCATAACCTGTCGTCCAGAATCGCTCGAACCCCGCACTGGCGGTGCCAAGTGGGTGTGCTCGACCCGCCGGGTTCCTGCCAGAAGCGCCATGTCAAAAATTCAGGTTCCCCCCACTAGTTCAGGAAGGCGTGCGCAACACGCATGCAGCGGGCTGTTTCCCAAGAGTCGTAGACAAGACATCGCCTCATATTCCCCACCAATCCACTGGGCTACACCGGCGTTGCCCTAAACCCATCCTCCAAGGTCCCCCTCGTCAGAGGCTTGCCAAGAACTACAATGTACATACATAATTCTGGAAGTGCATCATTGGACGACAACCGACTGAGAATTCCCAATCGTACTAAAACGCAGCTCCTGGGACTTCAGCGTCACGAGATCAACGTGACCCGGTGCGCCCTGACAACCCCATATCGTGCCATAACGACGTTCCTGGGACTCGGAAGACGAAAACGATGTAACTTTTCCGTTCTGACAACCCTGAATGTTGCCAGAGCACCATTCCTCGGAATTCGACAATGTGAACCCACAACTGTTGCAAACTTCCAAAGAAAATGTGCGCGGCCTCAGATTGAGGACCACACGTTGAAAAATAACCGCCCTTCATTAGCGACAGTGCTGCCGACTTGTAAGACGGATGCGCGCGCCGCTTCGGCGAGAGCCATGTCTTGGAAACCGCCCGCCCTCCATCCATGAAAATGGTGCAAACTTGAAAGGCACATGTGCGCTGAGCTAAGGCGGGAGACACACTCTAAACCTCCACCCTCAAAGCCGCTGCATTTGGCGCGGCGATTAGGCAATGACTATATTTTGAAAACGACCCACCCTCCATTCGTGAAGTTACTCCAAAATCCAAACTTCGGGGTCATAAAAAGAGGAGGCCTCCCGCGAAACATCCTGCCCGCCCTGTTAACACGTCTGGGGGCGCGGCAGAAAGGAATTAGTCATGAGAAAAATTACGGCGGAGGAGGGAGAGGAGAAGAAGGAGGAGGAGGACCAGAATAACCCCAATAATCATCAAAGATGTTGAAAAAAACACCCTCGTAGGCCCCTGCACGGGTTCATTTCCACTGACGTAGTTGCCCCGCGGGGAGGACAGGCGTGTGAACATCCTGAAGCAAGCCAGAACACCATGTTCAGGACCTCAACGCCGCGAGATCACCTGACTGTCACGTCGTGGCGATCCGGAATTGTGCCAGAACGCCTTTCCTGGGACCTCAGCACCGCGAATCAACTGAACTGTTGCGCCCTCCCATGTCCGAACCGTTCCAAAATACATTTCCTGGTACGTTAGCCATGAACACCCGTGAAACTCTTGCAAATGTTCGAATCGAACGCGCGCGGCGCTAAGGCGAGATCCACTTTCTGAAAACGACCCACCCCCAATTTGTCAAACCCTGTGTGAATTTTCAAAAACGAATGCGCGCGGCGCTAAGGCGAGGTGCGCGGCGCTCAAGCGAGAACCTCATTATGAAAACCATCCGCCCTCAATCCGGGAAACTCTTGCACATGTTTAACACGAATGTGCGCGGCACTAAGACGAGAACCACAATTTGCAAAACCACCCGCCCTCAATCCGTGAAACCCTTTCGCATGTTTCAAACCGAATGTGCGCGGCACTAAGGCGAAAGCCACATTTTGGAAGCGGCCCGCCCTCCATCAGTGAAGCTGTTGTCAATGCTTAATGTTCACGATCACAAGCGGTGACGAAAACTCGAGCGAAATGCCCGGCCCGCCCTTTCGGCTGGCCTCGGAATGCGACAGGGAGGAGTTAGCTATAAGGAAAAGGACTGGAGGAGGAGGAGGAGGAGGAGGAGGAAGAGGAAGAGGAGGAGGAGGAGGAGGAGGAGGAGGAGCAGGACGAGGAGGGGAGGAGGAGGAGGAGGAGGAGGCGGATGAGGGGGACGAGGAGGGGGAGGCGGAGAAGGTGGGGGAAGGAGCAGGAGGAGCAGGAGGAGGAGGAGACAGCCAGAAGAGAAGGAGGGGGATGAGGAGGGGGAGGCGGAAGAGGAGGAGGGGGAGGAGGGGAAGGTTGATAATGATGAAGAGGGCGCGATGGGGGAGGCGGAGGAGGAGGACGACGAGGACGAGGAGGAGGAGGAAACAGAGGAGGAAGAGGAGGAGGAGAGGTCTTAGGAGACGGAGGAGGACAAGGAGGAGGAAGGCGGGAGAAGAGGAGGAGGAGGAGGAGGAGGAGGGGGATGACAAGGGGGAGGAGAAGGGAGAGTCCAGGAACGACTCAACCTTAGCTTTTGGAGGAAGGGGTAGGGGGGGATGGGGAGGATGAGGAGGAGGAGGATGAGGATGAGGATGAGGAGGAGGAGGAGGAGGAGGAGGAGGAGGAGGAGGGGGAGGATGAGGAGGGACATGAGGATGAGGAAGAGGAGGAGGAACACATGGCAAGGCAAGACCTGGGCAGTTGTTGTCTCCTGCTTTGCTGGCTCACCATGTTTGGGTAAAGGAAAAGCCATGACGAATTGCTGCTGGTAGCATCAACGCACAACTCGGGCAAGCCCGCGGGACCTTGAAGCCCCCCAAAGAGCCGCCCAGGCCCGCGTGTGCACGAATGGGGGCCACACTGCAGCCAAAGCGCTGGGAGACGAAGCGTACAACACTTGGGCCCGCAACCTCGACCCAGGGACCGCCGACTGCTGCAGATCTTCGAGCCGCTCTTCAAGTTGCGTGCGCCCTCGTGCACCGAGTCGCTGTCTCCGTCCCGCCCCCGCCCACTCCCCCCCACTCTCCCCCCCTTCCCACCGCCCACGCCCGCCACGGCACGGCACTCTCACAGTGGACACCCCGAGCAAGACCTGGACCAACTCTGGTGGATTTCAACACTGCGTTCGCGGGGAACGCCGAAAAGGCTTGGACAACTCTAGGTGGAAGCTGCGCATGACCACGCAGCCCTGGGATCAGCACTGTCAATCACTTCAACCGTTGTCCTCTGAACTGCCGCAGCATCGTGTGTGCTCCGATGCTGCCTGCTTCTGCCATTCTTCGGAGGCCGTCCGTGCCGATGTGTCCTGGACTTCGGCCTGAGCTGCTCGCTCGAGCGCCCCTGGAAGTGGGCTGCCGATATTCACCACTCCGCCTGCTGCTACCAATCTTTTGTGATCGCCCGTCGTAGGTCGGAAGTTGTGATCTGCGGCACCTCGACTTGCCCGTTGCCCTTCTCCTTGGAATCGCTCTACTAGCTGCGGTCTCAGAAAAAGGCCAGACCGCGAGTGAGTTCAGCAAAAGGTGTAACTTCGCATCGGCCGCTTTGCCTGCATCCTGGTAGTATGTCTTCTTGGCCCTGTAGTAGCGCACCGAATCGTCCATCTCCTGGTTCGCCCGCATGTCCTCGCGAGCATGGGAACAGAACGCCCGCATATGTGAACATGCCGTGGTCCTAGATCCGTCTTGCCCTCCTCCGTGCACAATCAGTGGTACCCCTGTCCCATGAGTAGAGCCTCCACGACAAACGCGATATTCATGTCCGCGCTGAGGCAGTCCCACAGCACCCCCCATAAAGATAAGAAGAACTTGCAGAGCTTGCGTGCTGTTCAGTGTGAGCTTCTGAAGTCTGTATAGTTGGTCCTGCACGTCCACATCGTCGTCAAAACAATGACCGTCCCCCTTGCCCTGGCCACGCGCTCTCTTGAGCTTGCGACCTCCTCCTCTGGTGAGTTTGGGCCAGATGGGCCGCGATGGCCCTCATTGTCGAGATGGTGCTGCCGCAAACCTCCCCGTCTGGAGTCGCGTGCGTGCGCGCATGCTTGCGCATGGGCTCCAACTCCTCCGTGAGCCGCCTCCTGCTCACACTCCTCGCAACGCTTATTGCAAAACTGCCTGATGTGCTCTGGCATTTTCTTATGAACCGCCTTGCGGGACTCCTCCATTCTGGCAGAAGCCAAAGACCCCTCCCTCGCTATCCACGCATCTGCAACATTCGAGTAGGGGTCGGCGCTTGCAATCGATGAAGATCGTTCCGGAACTGTCGAACCAAAGGGGCACAAAGGGGGAGGAGGAGGAGGAGGATGAGGAGGAGCAGGAGGAGGAGGAGGAGCAGGAGGAGGGGGAGTCCAGGACGAATTCGACAGCCACTTGGAGGAAGGGGAGGGGGAGCAGGGGGAGGAGAGGGAGGGGGAGCAGGGGGAGGAGAGGGCAGGGAGCGGGGGAGGGGGAGGAGAGGGAGGGGGAGGGGGAGCAGGGGAGAGGGAGCAGGGGGAGGAGAGGGAGGGGGAGGGGGAGCAGGGAGAGGGAGCAGGGGGAGGAGAGGGAGGGGGAGGGGGAGCAGGGAGAGGGAGCAGGGGGAGGAGAGGGAGGGGGAGGGGGAGCAGGGAGAGGAGAGGGAGGGGGAGGAGAGGGGGAGGGGGAGGGCGAGGAGGTTGAAAACCCCGCCAACCAGCGCGTGCCTCGCCCGGGAGAGGGGGGCCTCTTTCGGCCCCTCGACTACGCCGAGGACCTGAGGCGCGTCCGCTGGCGGGTTGGCCCGTCGCCGTCGTCGAAGATCCGCCTCCTCCACCGCCCTCGCCCTCACCCTCCTCCTCGTCCTCGTCCTCGTCCTCCTCCTCCTTCTCCTCCTCCTCGTCGTCCTCCTCCTCCTCCTTTTCCTGACCTCCTCCTCGTCCTCCTCCTCCTCCCGCCCCTCCACACAGAGGCAATCTGAATATGTTGCCTCACTCCCCCAAGTGTGGCCGGGGAACAGCCAACCCCTCCGCGTAATTAGCTACTGCTTTCCTTCACAAGGTTTCATGCTGTTTTTGTTTCCTGTGTTTTTTTCCCCCAGCCATCCCGTGGTGTTGGGCTCTCGTTTTGAAGAGACGGTCCAAGCGTCCCCCCTCTCCTCTTTTCCTCTGTTCCTCCTTTCCTCCCCCTCCTCCTTCCCCCTCCTCTCTCCTCTCGTCACACTCGCACTTTGGCACACCGCTCACACGCTTCGTGGCCCCATAGGAAGCTCCACCTAAGGGCCCCGTGGCGCAATTCGCATGGCGGCACCGCCACATTGTGGCACACACACACACACACCGCACGTTTCGTGGCCCCACAGGGAATTCCACTCAAGGTCCCAGTGGTGCACTTCGCATGGCGGCGCCGTCCCATTCTGGCACGCCCTTCACACGGCTCGTGGCCCGTAGGGAGCTGTTTTGAAACTCCCAGTTGCGCAGTTCATGTGGCGGCTGCGCCATACCTTGGCGCACACCTCACACGCTTCGTGGCCCCATAAGGCATAAGGAGCCCCACCCAAGGTCCCCATGGTGCAGTTCGCATGGCGGCGCCGCTTCATGTAAGCAAGCCCCGTCACACGTTTCGTGGCCCCGTGGGGAGCTCCACCTAGGGTCCCAGTGGCGCAGTTCGCATAGAGGCGCCACCCCATTTTGGCACACCTCCCGCACGCTTCGTGGCCCCATCGGGAGCTCCACCTGAGGGCCCCATTGCGAACTGCGCATGGCGGCGCCGCCCCATTTTGGCACACCCCTGACACGTGTTCGTGGCCCCATAGGGAACCCCACTTAAAGTCCCAATGGCGAACTGCGCATGGCGGCGCCGCCCCATTTTGGCACACCCCTGACACGATTCCGTGGCCCCATAGGGAGCTCCGCCGAAAGGGCCACGTGGCGCAGTTCGCATGGCGGTGCCGCGGTGCCGCCCTATTTTGGTGGTACACCCCTCACACGCTGCGTGGCCCCAGTGGGAGTCCTACCTGAAGTCCCACTGTTTGGTCTCGCGCCGCCGACGACCCGCGCGCGTCGCTGGGACCCTCTCGGGGCGACCAACGCGCGTCGCGGGAACTCCGCGCGGCGCTCTGCCCAGCATCTCGCTCGCCCGTCGTCGCCCTGCCCAGCGGCCAGATCTGTGCCCGCCATCAGCCAGCCGACTAGGGCTCTTTGCTCCGCGCAGCGGACGACCCGCGCGCGTCGCTGGGACCATCTCAGGGCGACCAGCGTTCGTCGCGGAAACTCCGCGCGGCGCTCTGCCCAGCGCCTCGCTCGCCCGACGACGCTCTGCCCAGCGGCCAGATCCTTGCCCGCCATTCGCCAGCCAGCTGGCCCTCCTTGCTCCGCGCAGCGGACGACCCACGCTCGTCGCTGGGTCCCCTTCGGGGCGACCGGCGCGTGTCGCGGGGACTCTGCGCTACGCTGCGCTTGCAGCCTTGGGCTGTGGAGTGCAGGGTCAAAACACAAGGGGAGGAAGCGGGCGCGATCCTCGTGAGGGGCGTGCCGACATGATCGTCATGGCGCGCGGGCGCTGCCATCGGGGTTTCCGGGGGAGCTCCCTGTGGCAGCCACGCTCAGCGCCACGAGTACTCAATGCCAGGCATACCAAAACCGTGCACATTCATATTTCATATACTTTTACACTAGGTGTAGCCATGCTCGCATTCGTGCAAATAGACTCACTCGCACGCAGACTCATTGACAATTAGACTCACTCGCGCTCAGGCTCGCCCGCACTCAGTCTTTCATACTCATACCTATCGTCTCCGTTCGTGTTGTGTAACCCGCTACAAATATCGGCGCGCCCCTCATGCGGTTCGTGGCCACATAGGGAGCACCACCGATGACGATATCCACAACTGCGACACTCTCAACTGCATATGGTTGCGTCCTTCGCCAGACTAATTTTTTGCCGCTCTCGTCCCAGCGCGGGCCACTCTTCTGGATCCGAACCCTTTCTCATTGTTGTCGCTACCATCCTTTCCCCTCCTCCGCATTCCCGTGCACCTCCTGCTCTTCCCGCCCCTTCCACTCCAGTCCCCGCTGCTGCTGTTCGCCCTCGTCCCCCTCCTTCATCATCATCCTGTTCCTCCTGCTAATCCTCCGGTTCCTTCTCCCCCTTCTCTTATGTACGCAGCTCCCCTTTTTTTCCGATTACGCATAAAACCACGGAGGTCTTGATATTTTCCAAGTTCGAGCGCTATGAGAAAACATGGGTTTTCCTCCTCCTCCTCCTCCCTCCCTCCCCCCCCCTGCTCCCTCCTTCTCCCGCCTCCCCCTCATCCTGCTCCTCCTCCTTTTCCTTTCTTTCGGAATGGTTTCGCCCGGGCGACCCCAATAATCCCCGGCAGCACGTACGTACAGTGCGTCTGAAGCAAGGTGGCCCACTGACAATTTGAGAAGGCACGGCAAATTCGCACGCACCGATCGAGACCCGTCTCCAAAGCGATCGCGTCTGCTTGGAAAGCGGAGGCCACATGCCCCAGAAAACGCCGCGCCGCACTTAACCTCGGTGACTGCTGGGGCGTCGCCCGAAGCAGCCCGGGAGACACCATACGAACACACACACACACACACACCGCTGCGGCCTCTCCCGCCCGCCTGCCGCCGCTTGTCTGCAGCTGGAAAGAAGCTTCGGGGCCAGTGCGTGCCGCGGAACATGAGCCTTCCACGGAAGATGGACTGCTCGATATCGAGTGCCATGGTCGCCAGGTCTTCGCCTGCGGCGTTGTACGCTCGTTCCCGCCATCTCACGATCGGCGACGTATCGGTACAAGCCCTGAGCCCATTGGCGTACAGCCCTGCCAGACGACGCCCTCCTCCTCCTCCTCCTCCTCCTCCTCCTCCTCCTCCTCCTCTTCCTCCTCCTCCTCCTCCTCCTCCTCCTCCTCCTACTCTTTTCCTTGGAAATCCCACCAGCCCTTTGGGCTAAGGTGGTCTGGCGAGTTCTTCTCTTCCAAAACTACTCTCCCCTTCGGGGAGGGGTGCCCTTCCCCTCTCCTCCCGGAAGTGTTGGTGGGGTGTTCACCAAGGGTGAGAGCCTCTAAGATGGCCCACTGTGGCTCACAGAGGGCTTCCGATACACACATACGGTCTCCAAGATGGCTCAAGACAGCCGAAGCTGGCTCAAGATGGCTTTCGACATACCTCCAAGAGGCCCGACGAAACCCACAACACGATTGCAAGTGCCCTCGGAGCCCTGTCAAGACCCCGAAGACGTTAACATCCTTCAAGAAGCAACGGAACAAATGGATGTGCGCCTTCCTGCCATTTCGCTTCCGATGCGCTTCGAGGCCTTAAGATGGCCCAAGAAAGGCCCAAGAGGAAGGAGTCGCACGGTTGAAGTCTCAGGAATGCTGTTTGGGCATTGGTGCGGACTGCCAAGACGTACCAGTCACGTTAATTCGCGGCGCTGAAGTCATAGGAATTGTGATTTGGCACGTTGAGGGTTCCCACACGTTTGTCGTGTAACAGGCATTCTCCTCCTCCTCCTCCTCCTCCGCCTCCTCCTCCCCCGCTCCTCCTCCTCCTCCTCCGCCTCCTCCTCCTCCTCCTCTTCCTCCGCCTCCTCCTCCTACTCCTCCTCTGCCTCCTCCTCCTCCTCCTCCTGCTCCTCCTCGTCCTCCTTCTCTATCCTGCTCCTCCTCCTCCTTCCTCCCTCCTCCCTCCTCCCTCTCCTCCTCCTCCCTTCTCTCCTCCTCCTCCTCCTCCTCCTCCTGCCTCTCCTTCCCTGCTCCTCCTCCTCCTCCTCTTCCTGCTCCTCCACCCCTCCTCCACCTCTCCCCTCCTCGTCCCTTCCTCCTCCTCATCCTCGTCCCCTTCCTGCTCCTCCTCGTCCTCCTCCTCCTCCTCCCTCCTGCTCCGCCTCCTCCTGCTCCTCCTCCTCCTCCTCCTCTTCTTCTTCTTCTTCTTATTATTATTATTCGTATTATTATTCTTCTTATTCTTATTATTTTTATTATTCGTCTTCTTATTATTCTTATTATTATTATTATTATTCTTCTTCGTCTTAGTATTATTATTATTACTACTATTACTATTATTATTACTATTATTACTACTATTATTATTAGTAGTATTATTATTATTATTATTAGTATTGGTATTAGTATTAGTATTATTATTCTTATTATTCTCATTATTATTAGTGTTATGCTTATTATGCTGATTAATATCATTATTAATAAAATATAAATATTTAAAACCTAAAGAAAACTACTAATATAAAGTAATAATAAAGGATAAGACAAATATACAGTTAATAATATAAAGAATATATAATAAATTTATAGTAAATTTAATCAGAGAAATTAGTTTAATTTTGTATTATTATCCTCCTCCTCCTCCTCTCCTCTTCCTCCTCCTGACTCCTCCTCCTCTCACTCTAACCTCCCGCTCCTCCTCCTCCCCCCTCGCTCCTCCTCGTCCTCCTCATCCTCCCCCCTCCTCCTCCTCCTCCTCCTCCGCCTCCTCTCCTCCTACTCCTCCTCCCGCCTCCTCCTCCTCCTCCTGCTCCTCCTCCTCCTCTCTCCTTCTCCGCCTCCTCCCCCTCTCCCGCCCTCCTCCCCCGCCTCCTCCAACTCCCCCGCCCCTCTTCCTCCACCCCTCTCCCTCCTCCTCCTCCTCTCCTCCTGCTCCTCCTCCTCCTACTCCTCTCTCCTCCTCCTCCTCCTCCTCCTCCTCCCTGCTCCCGCCGCGCCTCCTCCTCCTCCTCTTAAGCGTCCCCTTCCTGCTTCCTCCTCCTCCG